CGATGAAAACCAGCTTTAAGCAACGGCGTAGTCGAACGGTGTAAGTAATCCTACAATTTTTTGTTTATAGCATAGTTTATACAGATTATTCCCAAAAAATTATACGTATTTTGGAAATGTTGAGTCGAATTAGTCTAGAATCGGTTAATTTTATAGAAGAAAACCTTTCGAACAGCCTTAGTCCGTAAAGTTCACACCTATCGGGCTGCGATTGGCTCATGTATTTAATCATTCCTACAACGTAATTTTCGGTTAGCATGGAACGTATCTAAGCGTTATAGGGGGGTCTACTGTAATTTGTTAACTTAAAAGATTTTAAACAAATAGCAATTCAAACTATAAGGATAAAAATATCAAAGTAGCATTGAACCTTTATCTCAAACATGCTTATTTCAAAAACCTCTTTATATTGAAAATTATTTTCCCTCTGCATTTTCAGCCTAGATTCAATATATTTTCCATGTTTATCTTTGAATTTGTAACTGAAACCTTCAGTCCATAATTTAAGCTTGGCAACTACATTTTGATGATAAACTTCGGTCAAAGAACATCTCTTGTAATACAGTACATAGTTGCAGTTAATGCTGCTTTTCTCAGATTTGCTACACGTTTGGCTTGCATCTCATTGGTTGAAGGAAGGTAGGCATCAGACACTATTGACAAACTATTTCTGTTAGATATAATAAAACATACACGTATATACAGTACTTACTATTGTATTAAGAAAATACCGTACACAGTAATAGGTTTGATTGACGGTAAGAACCTGTATATCTCAACTTGTCTATCTGGTATTGTTTTTTCTCGTTCCTGTGAAATTTAAGATAAAAACATGGTCAATTTGTTTATTTTTTAAAATTTGTTTGGATCAATAAAATCTAGTTTCTGATTGCTATGAGTAAATGTAATGCTTTGTCTCAAACAAGCATTTTCTTCTCTTATTTTCAAAATTACAATTTGTGGAGGATACAACTTCATTACGACAATGAGTTGTGCAAGATGAACATCCTTCTTGCAGCATCCGGGGTGCCTAGTTTCAAAGTTATAAATGTCATGTCATGAACTCAATTGGTGAATAGTCTTGCAGAATGAATGGTATTCCATATGATATTCTTGGTGCATTTGTGTTTCTATTCGCATAACAAGATGATATACCATTCTTTCTTAGTTTTAAGTTTCATTTCAGTACACAGAAAGTGTACACATCTTACAGCTTTTTGAAACTTTTAATCTAATTTTATCTATATTTAGTCTTCTACAGATCTTAGAATATAATTTTTGCTTTTTTATTCATAGAATTTCATTAAATTTAAATACATTCATATTATCAGAATGTCTATTCTTGACAAAATTAATTGATAGTTTATTTTTAATTCAGGCTCTGACAGCGGCCGACTTGAATCTTGTGATATTTACGTGCGAGACGGCAAATCCTAATCAAATATTTAGCCAGATTCCATGCCCACTCCAACAACCGGTTCTGCTATCGCTCATTCAACAATTATCCGGCGACATCTCCACACACACTGAACTGAAATTGAAGTGAGTATACTTTGCAGTTATGTCACGTATTAAGGATGTATCCTTTTTTACAACAAAGTTTAAAAAATTTCAGATATCTAGAAGAAGCTGTGATGAATCTGGACACGAAAGACACAAGAACGCAACAACATCTTCCTTCGATACTAGGAAGCCTCCATCAAAAACTAACGACTTTCATCCAAAACAACCCTTCGAATCGATTCAGTAGACACAAAATACTCTTACTAGCCACTCAATCTCTCTTAAATCGTTAACGCGATTATTTTAGCCAAATTTACGATATTTATGAGGCAGAAAAGCCAACTGCATATCAGCGTCACTTTAAATTATAGGAAATGCCAAAGAAGTCGACGTCTGTCATCTTCAGCGGAAGATAATTTTTTTGACTTTTATTTAAAACTTCGAAGAAATGTATCAGTTTTTTCATCAGTGGAAAATTTTAAGAAAGAATTAAATCAAACTTCATCTTAAACTATCCGAATATATGTATATATATATTAAAAAATATATTTAAATATATGTATATATATTCATTTATTACGAATTTAAATCAGGCAAGTATGTACAAGTATATTTCTTTGTCTTGAGATTTGTAACGGTCAACAATAGGATCCCAGACTTCCCAGAGATATTTTGAAAGTGATGTATGTTCTTTGTATTGTAGAAAATTAATTGGGGGAGATACATTTTATACAAGTGTGTTGTTTAAAAATCTTAAATCATAAATAATAAAAAAAAAGGAAAAAAAAACAATTTTACATAATATGAAATGTTTGTATTTGAATATATTTTATTCGATAAAATTAGATTATTTTATGGTATTACTTCGATCTGAAGCAATCTCAATAAACTTATTATTTTAAAAGAGCGACAAATTCATTCAAAATCTGTTTTTAACTGTTTCTGCTTCTAGTCTTCCCAATCCGAGGGCAGTAACGGTTGTTTTCTGCCACCATTGAAGGTTTGACTAAATATTTATAATAGTCTTTGTTATTTTACTTTTTTTCTTGTCCTAGACACAACCTAAAACAAAATCAAGTCTTCAGTCACAAGTTTAGCCAGACCCACAATAGGAACAGGCTGCCCAAAAATTCAAGGTTTCCAAACCAAACTTGAACGTTTTGAATCTGGTCAGATTGTCAGATAACAAAAATATAGTTTGTGGCCCTGTATCTCTATTAAATTAATTTCCAGAAATGATTGTTTATTTATCACGTCAAGGAATCAAAAATCTACCACACCGTTCCTTACTTTTGAAAAACAGTGGACTAATTGAAATTTATTGTGCAACCTGTGGAAAAAGGCAATAGTGGTACATTTTCCCCCCTTGCAGACGAGCAAATAGTATTGTAACCTGTATAGTATTGTATCATATCATATTTTTTCTAATGTTAGCTCTAACAAACTGTTCCATTCAAATCAAATTTTGCAAAAATAGACCAAATATTGAAAAACAGCACCCGTGTAACCACTTAAAACATATTTTGTGCTTGCTGGTAACCTTGTATCATTACCTATTTTCCTATTTGAATGCCACTATATCATTGATCCAATAGAAAGAAGGGACTATTGCAGAAGGGGGTCGAAGTAATTTGACCAAAAGTAGTCGTTGCCCTCTTCCCAGAAAAGAGAATGGTCAACGACTACACTAATTAATACCAGTCTAGTATTAATATTTGAAAAAAGTGATCCATGTTGGACAGGTCGTAATGGCCCCATGTGTGCTAATCTTAATGTCCCAAATACTTGATATAAAACTTGTTTAAATAAAAGGAATTATTCCAGCATTATTACAATATACAATCTCTTTATCACATAAAAAAAATAATCTGTTCCCAAAATTTAAACAATGTGGGAAGTATCTTCTTGTAAATATCACGTTTATAGAAAAATTATTGGACTGCAATTTGAAAAACTGTAGACCTATAAATTCTGACTGTTGTCCCATCTGTCTTACACTTTGTCCTTCCTTAATCTTGAGAAAGGAATTAGATGAAAGTGTGGAAAGCTTAGGGCAGGAGGCCCAGATTAACTATACATGAACTTCCAGTTTAGAATGGAAGTAATGTTACTTTGATTCAAAATTTCCCCTGAATAGATACATGACCAACCCGACTATCTAACAGGCAAAACACTACTATGTACAGTATATGTTCCATGCAGGCAAGTGCTATGTGCTACTTCTCAGTGACGGTACATCTATTTTGGTGAATATAAATATATATTTTAAAAAAAATTTTTTCCAATAGATGGTGCTGTGTGTAAAACCAACAATCAGATGTAGATAGAAATTAATCGATATATAGGAAGCAAATTGATAATTTGGAGTGGAACGTACAACCTGATCTACAGATCTGCAAGTTAGAAGTATTTGAAAAATGTAACTGGAATTTTGGTAACAATGTAATATATTTTTTCTGAGATACTTTACACAAAGATGTAACAAAAGTGATTAAGTGTTCTCTAAATGCAGATTTTATTGGTCATTATTTGCAGAGAAACAAACTTGCAATCGATAAATCCTTCCGCAACAAATAAACTTTGGGCTTACATTTTGAAAACTATTATTAAGCACTTTTTGGAGATATCATTCTTCTTTGGAATCTAAAAAATATAATAATTAGCTAATTTATTGATATACCGTTCCTGTTTTTGGATACTGAAATTATTGAATTGTTTCCTTTTAGAAATATTGGAATAGTGAACATTTGATTTGTTGTGCCATGCAATCAGTTTTATATAAAAATGTTGAATCCTACTATTAATTAATTACCATATCAGGTGACCAAAAAAGTGTGGATTTTCAATGTTATCATTCTAATGAAGATTTGCAGGTATGTGCAGATAGATGGCCAATAGTCAAGTCTTATGCCAAGAAGGCACAAAAGTCAGTTTGTGAAATGTCAAAGATAGCTACTCCAAGTTTAAACCTGGCACTAATGCCATGCCAGCAGGCCACAAGATACATAGAGCATTTAGAAAGAGCACAGTAAGCAAACACATGGCGCAAAAGTGGTTCAAAAAATTTGTGCTCCTTGACAAGGCTCTTGAAGATACACCTTGAGAGGGAAGACCGAGCATCATTGATGGACAGCCATCGAGGAGTTAGATTGAAGAAAAATCTTCTGGGAGCTTGCAAAAAGGTTCGGTTTGAAGGACGAAACCATTCATAGGCATTTGTATTGCCTAAGAAAAGCTCAGAAACCGAGTAAATGGATCCCATGCAAACTGACAAGGAAACTGTCGGAGTGTCTTCTAATAAATTTTAATAAAATTTAGTTAATAACTACGTTAAAAGTATACAAAGTCTATTTTAAATTTGTAGCATTCACTAAAAGTGTTGATCAGAGTTATTAGCAATCAAATGTTGCACTACTTTATAGTAGTTTAGCACAATTAGGCAAATTTTTAGAAGTGAAAGGGTCGTGGAGGAAGACAGCGATATTACATTTAGAATAAATTCTGGAATTTTCAAAAATGGTTGAAGAATTAATAAAATTTAGTTAATAATTATGTTAAAGTATACAAAATTTTATTAATTCCTCAACCATTTTTGATAATTCCAGAATTTATTCTAAATGTAATATCACCGTCTTCCTCCGCGACCCTTTCACTTCTAAAAATTTGCATAATTGTGTTAAACTACTATAAAGTAGTGCAACATTTGATTGCTAATAACTCTGATCAACACTTTTAGTGAATGCTACAAATTTAAAATAGAGTTTGTATACTTTTAACGTAGTTATTAACTAAATTTTATTAAAATTTATTAGAAGACACTCT